GTAAATGGTTAATAAATAGACAAATCTAGTATAGAAAGTCAATCTCTTCTGAGAACAGACTTATGGTAATATTATCACAGATGACAGGTGTTAAAAGTTCAAAAAAAAGAGGAATCACTAACTGGATTATAATGCTTCTATTTACTCAGCAGCTACCCAAAGTTTTAAAGGTCTATTAAAATGAAAACTACACAAACTCTTATGTCTAAGAAACGCTATACATGAAACAGAGGGAAAAATCATTCTAATAATGTTCTGACAGAACCCAAGCCATCTTACATTCCAAAAGTTTCTTGTGCGAGTGGGCTGCAGCTTAAATATAATTTCCCATAGGAACAAAACTTTTAAAAAGTATGTATATTCCCAAGCAGGTCCATCATAGATAAAATTTACCCCATATAGTTGAAAAAGTAATTATGTGATATACAGTAAAGAAAAAATAAAGAAGTTGTCTACCTATTCTCATATTAGACTAGAATCGGTCTTTAATCTCCAAAGCGCTTCATGGTCCAAAAATGTCACAATCTCTTCTCTCTGCAACCCACCTTCTTTTATTTAACTCATTTTAATCAAATGAAAATTTCCATTTTTCTCATTGGTCATCTCTATACCACAACATATCTACCCATTCTACTACTGATACACATTGCAAATAATGTTGCTACAAACATTGTTTCATGTTCCTTTTAATCAACATACTTATTCCTATTAGGGACTACACCCAGGAGAGGAACTGTCAGGTCACAGGTCTCTTCAACTGTAGTTGATACACCCAAATAATTTTCAAAGTTGAGATGCCAGCAGTATATGACAGTTCTCATTCCTCCTCCTCCTAAACAACACTTGCCATTGTCAGATGTAATTCTGACCAATCTGGATAGTAAAAAATGGCATCTAATTGTAGTTTTAATATGTATTTTTTTCTGTTTACTAATGATTCGGAATTTTCTTTCCCCCCTTTCTTTCTTCACTCCCCCCTTCCTTCCCCCATTTGGATATCCTCTTTCTCTTCTGTGTAGCCTGTCTTCTCAGCCTTTCAGTGATGTGTTTTAATGAACAAAGGTTCTTAAATTTAATGAAGTTCAACTTTTTTTTTTATGACAAGTATTTTATGCCCTGTTTGTAAAAATCTCTATATTTATCGTTTGATTATGAATATAATCTCCTACGTTATCTTCTCTAAGCTTTTATCTTTCAAGTTTAGAACACCCCAGGTGGAACAGATTTTGGGGTATGCTGTGGGGCGGGAATTTTTTTTTATATGATATCCATCAATCAAAATTTTTTAAAAAATGTAGAATTTCAGCTAGCCCAAAAATTTAAAAAGTGAAACATTTCAGGCCATAAAGGAGAAGACACAAGATATAATTCTTCCTCACTTACCATTCTTCTAAGGAAAGTAGATGAGGGTGAATGAAGGAGTTGTGTCATATCTATATGTGAGTTTGACTTGGAGTTAGATTAGATAGCCTTCTCATATTTAACAACCACCACCACCACAATAATAGCAGTTAACATGTATTGCATACTTAGTAGGTGTAAGTGCATGATCTCATGTAATTCTCACAATAATTCTGTGAGATGGATACTATGCTCTCTACTTAATAAATGATGAGACTGACATAGGAAAGATGTTACCTAATCAGTGCCCAAGTTCTTAAACTCTGCCTCTCTCATAACTTTTATTTCTAAGCTTGGAGATCCTCCATCATGCACACGTGTTTTCTTAACTTTCACAGGTTGAGATAACATAATATGCCATTCTTCCTATTTTTTGTCTAGGTTTCAAGAAAATTCCTATAGGGGAATACTCTACATACAAAATGTAAATAATTATGTACTCCTAGTTTGATAACATAGGAAAAATTACAATAGAATCAAAAGTGTCTTCTGGAAGTAACATGGACATAGTTATGGTTAGCACTACTGTGATTTTATGGTCTAGAGAAGTTTTAAAAACAAGTCACTAAAATTGCAGTCTATACGGCTACCTTAGAATGCTTCATATTAATAAGTTTAAAATAATTTAACTAAGAAAAGCTTTTTCTAGACTGAAAACTGCAGAAAGTGTATTACTTTGTTTGCTGTAAGAACTTAGGCATATTTTTATATTATTCTACTTAGGTCCTAGCCTATATTCCTTATAAAGCCTTTAATGTTACAAGGAAAAAGGGAGATACATTAAAATTTTTGAAAAAGAAAAAAATCCATTGCTTCATGTAATTTTTACAGGATGCAGGAACTTGAAGGATTCTTAGAAAGACCTGCAGGTACTCATTTTACTAAAGGAGAAACCGAGGTCCATAGAAACTTATACCAGATCCCAAAGACAGTAAAGATCAGATTTTACAATGGCTGTACCTAGGGATATTAATTTGAATCCCTCTTAAATAATATTCATATATCTGTTTCCATGAAATTCTAAAAATTATTTATGACTTGAGTTTTATTTTTTCCACTTGTTGTTTTTACAATTATTTACAGGAAAAAAACAGATTTTAAATCTTCATTTTTATTTCTTTATTCCAAACTCTCAGCAATGTGTGTGTGTTCAATCATTCAGTCATGTCCAACTCTGTGCAAGCCCACGGACTGTAGCCTTCTAGTTCCTTTGTCCATGGAATTTTCCAGGCAAGAATACTGGAGTGGGATACCATTTCCTCCTCCAGGGGATCTTTCCGACCCAAGGACATCTCTTACATCTCCTGCATTGGCAAGTGGATTCTTCACCTGTGCCACCTGGGAAGCCCAACCCCTTAGCAATAAGACTACCCAATCTAACTGATATGTGAAAGGAAAAATAAACAATACAGGCTCTGAGCTTCCTCCTTTGGGACCAATATAAGTATACCCAGGATGTCTACCTGTTCCCTGGAGACTGCAGGTCCCCATGCCATTCTACCAGTTAGGGAAAAGGAAGAGAAGGCACTCTACCACCACCCTGGATGGCAGTCAGAAACACAGTAAGAGATAATGGTGGTTTCTATCACTGCCCATTTTCTAAGTAACTGACAAGAGCTTTGAGCATCAGTGCTGCCACTTCTAATCTGTCTTCAAGAAAATTTCCAACAGTAGCAGAATTACAACACCTTCCTAAGGAATCAGAACTATGAGCAATGCAGACTTAGGGCAGCAAAGATTACAAAAGCAACCTTCATTGATGGCCTCCAGCAAAATAGCTAGGGGCGAGAAAGGCCAGTAAATAAGAAGAGCACCAGAAAGGTTGAAAAAGGAGGAAATAAGTTGGGTTTTTTAATTCATTACACTGTTTTTAATAAGCCAAATGAGATATTCCCCAGCTAACAATTACTAAGGACACCCCCAAGGAAAGCTTTATTCATAGACACATAACACTGAAAAAAAAAAACCTCCTTTTGAAATGAAATTTTTCAAACTTCAAGAAAAAAATGCTTGTTTATAAAATGTGTACTATAAAAGATAAAATTATATTCAGTAAGAGCTCTTTAAATAAATATTTTAACACATCTCCAAATTTTAAATAATTTTATTAAATTTTACTATAAATCAATAAATTGGAATAAATCCACCTATTTTTTTTAAAGGATCTGAGAACTTATAACAAAAATAAACTTTGAAGGCAGCAAATAAGAGTTTTTTTACTACTAAAGAGGCTAAATCTCAGTGGGTTACTGATATATTTTAATTTACAGGAAGCTTTACTACACCCCAAGCAAACAAAGTATTAACATAAATGTAGATATAAAAGCAATTAGTTTCCATTTTCAATTTACTTACCTGACTATAGCACTATTATAAAAACTTTTAACTAAAATCCTATTTTGTAAATTTCTTAGCAACCTTTAAATAAGATCTTATAATACCTATAAAGTTCCTGATTATTACACAGAGTAAAACTGAAAATCCTAATTTGTTTCAGAGGCAGAATCATCATTCCATGGAGCTCAAACAGAAGAAAGTTTTGCTACTAAAACTTCCCACAGTGAACCACACTCAGATACCTTGATCTTTTGCTAGCACATCTGGCTACTCATCAATGTGGTAGCAGCAAGATAGACATGGGGCCTTTTCCATGGTATGCCAGTATAGCTTCTCTCTCTCTCTCTCCCTCTCTCGACTCCTGTCTTCTTCCCCCTCATCTCCCCTCACCGTCCCCATGTCTCCTAGCCTCACAGTGTATCACAGTCTTCTAAAGAATCATGAGGGACACAGGCCTCATGTCTGTTAGACAAGGACTAGCCCTCCTATAACCTTCATCCCCACCCCCAAAACTATGTGACCACCACTGCAACTGAGGCTTCTTCCAACTGCCTCAAAAATAGGGTTTCAGTTTAAAATAAGATTTTTTAAAAATCTGCTCAATTCCACTCTTCAAGGTAATATCATGGAGTTTATTTTCCTACTAAGAGAGTACTTTTGAAACCAGAAATAAGGCTGCATTAACTTTACAGGACTCAGAAGTTATTGTTTTTATTACTCTTAACATAAACAAAAACTAGTATTATCAAAAATGTAATAATAATCAAGGTTTTCTTTCTGGTTCATTACTTACATAGTTTTCCTGTGTTATTGTTGTAATCTATAAGACACTACAGTGAAAGATTCTCAGTCAAAGATTCATTTCAGTAGAGGAATGTCTTGTATTTTAAAAACCCTATAAATACCAGTTTGATAATACAAAGTGAACTTCACACTAATCTTTAAATGTCACTAGACAAATGAAAGGAAAAGACTGCTACTCTGGGGGAGAGAAGCCAAGCCCATATATGTCTACACTTTTATCTTCCTCATCTTAAAAAGCTAAAAAAAAAAAAAAAAAAAAACACAAACATAAATCTAGCTGCCCCATAAGAATACTCAATAAGGGTGAGGGTAACAGTTCTATAAAGGTAATCTTTGAGTTAAGTAAAGTCTTTCTGTAAATCATGTCTTCATTTCCATAGATTCAGAAAGTTCAGGCTGTCATGTCCATACTACTTTCGCATTTTTGAAGATGATTCTGTTTATGAGATGCCTCCTACCTGTCTCTGAAGTTCTGCCAGGTTGTAAGGTAAGGCTCCTTCAGCCAGCGGGGCTATTCTCTCAATATCTGCCAAAGTCAAGCGTCTTCAGGCAAAAATATGGGAAAGAAAGAACTATTAGACACCGACAGACACCTCATACTAAGATCACCTTTCTTCAGAAAGAAAGGGGTGAAAAAGAACTATGGCTTAAAAGTAGTATTTCCCTATTCACACAGATCATTTTATTAAGATGGAAAAAAAAAACTCCAGACTTTGCTTGCCACACAAAAAGCAAAAAACTCTAAAGAAATAATAGAGAGTACACAAATTTAATGACTCTAAAGATAGATTAAAAAAACTAAAGAAATAATTCTTCTCAGAAGCAAAGTATAAACACTGACTGTTCAGTTCATACACATTGAATATATTTCTTTAGCATACATCTTTAATGCTTAAGTGCAAAGTATCTTGAGAAGGATAAACACAAAAGTGATAGATACTGGTTGCCTTTAAGGGTAGAAGGGAGAAGGGGTGGATGGGAGATGTTTTAACAGTGGGCTCTTTTAAACTCTTTGAGTTTTGAACTGACTGAATGAACTACTGTTTTAAAATAAGTGTATTCCCTGTTATTTTTAGTTATAATTGTAGGATTTCATTATCAGCATCGAATATGAAACAGTGCACATATATGTTTTTTGTTTGTATGTTTGTGACAAAGTATTTGTCTCTTACATTTGTGTTCAGTGTTCTTTGAATGAAGTTCACTTTACAAAACTTTTCAGCAGCCTGAAGGTATATTGTGTGTTTATAATTGGTTTAGAAATCATATTGACAGATGGCTAATATAATATTGCAGTTATGTTTGTCTAGCCTAGAAAAATATTAGGAATCATCTGTGTTTATACAAAGCTATTACAGTTTAAAGTCATTTAATCACCTCACAAGTGCCCTGTAAGTGTCTGTGTACAGTCATTATTGATTATTTACTTTATGTGGGTCATGGAGAAAATGTTAAAACTCAGCCAATTTCCTTTGGCACAGGATTTTTATTAAATCATCCTCCATGAAAAGATAAGGATGCTAAGCACAATTTTGATATTAGCCTAAGAGAGCATAATTCAGATGTAAATAGTTTAGATGCAAATAAAATATGAAACAGTCTTTTGGAGCTTTACAATTCAACATAACTTATTTGAAAGCAATAAATAAATACTTTGCAACATTTCTCAAAAAAAAAAAAAAAAATTAAGTGTATTCCATGAACCAGGCAGTAGGTCACTTCAGATCCAGTTTTGAGAAGCACTCTTTACAAGCTTTTATTATCATGAAGGATGTTCAATACTTTTACTACAAATGTAAATTCTAGATGGATGAGGTATGGCCTGATATTTCATGTCAATCATCAAAGACTGGCTGGCTGGTTTATTCAATATCAACTCCAGCTTGACAATTTATTATGTAACATGAAGGCAATAAATTATCTATGTACACTCAACTTCTACTAGTCTTCAGTTCTAGGGTTAAAACCTATTTTTCAGATATGCCTACACTTACATAACTGCTAAAGCTGACTAAGAAAATCTGATCACTTAGTAGATCATGAGTCCCCTATCCCAAGGTCTTACTGGATGCCCACAGACAAAGCTTTTTCATCTGGATTTGTGTAAGACTTCACAAATTAAATACTCTCTATGTGCTTTGGGTTTTTTCAATCTATAAAAGAGACATAAAACATCTAAGCTTAATTATGATGAGAACCATGATAATAATGTCACAGGCATATTTCAAGAAAATGATACCCTCCAACACAAAATGTTTAGGAAAATGCCCACTCACAATGAATCAAAAAAGGTTATAAGATTCCTGAACATGTACTTCAATTTATTTTATAAATTTAGGCAAATATCCACAAATCTCTAAAAATTTCTAACCACCTCTACAGAGTCCAGATTAAATCAATTTTTCTGTCCCTCACTTATTTCTCATTTCACTGTCCCCCTCCTCTATCATTCTTCCTTGCCCATTTCCCTCTCTCACACTCTTCAACAACCCTTACTCCCTTCTTTACCTCTCTCTCTCCATTTCTTCCCTTCCTTTCTCTTCCCCTCCCCTTCTTGCTTTCCCTTTCCCTTCCTCCATTTCCCCCTACCTTCAGTCTGCCTTCACCTGTCTCATCCTCCTCCCCTGTTCCTCATATCTGCCTGTGTCTTTTTCTTGAAATTTATATACTGAGCAAACTATTGTTTAAATGAACTAAAAGAACACCACTGCTTCACATTAAAGTAACTGTCCTAAAAAGTATCATAAGGAATTACTGGAATAGTTACCCTGTAGCATTATATAAGTCTGAAAGCTGGTACAGGATGTCAATTTCCAGTGGGGTGACTTGTCCATAGCGTATGGCACTCTGGGCAAATTCCTCTGGAAGAAAAAGAAAATACTTTAAAATCTTCAAAGACTCTTAACATATAACAAACTTCTACCTTAACTATTATCTGAAAGCTAAAAGCATTTTGGTATTATTTTTAAAATCTAAAACTGAATTTCAATATCCAAGTTCAGCGACACAGAAATAACTACAAAAATATGAAAACTGGCAAAAGATAAAATGTTAAGATGATGAAACAGTAAAGCAGGTAAAATAATTTCAGAGGTAAAACAATCTCTTTAGGTTCCTCTAACCTCATCTTGTTTATTTGCTTTGGTCTCCAGAGCTACAAGATAAAAGAACTGGCTCTCCTCCAGTCACTTAAAACATCCCACTACAATTCAGCAAAAGGCGTAGTCCTGCCCATCTTTCTGTGGCCGCTCCTTCCTCATACAAAGAAGCTGTTGCCACTGACCTGTTTGACAGACTGGGCCAAGGTTCCTTTTAAAACTGTCAAAGCCACTTTTCCACTCCTGACCTCAGCATCCCATTATATCCAACTGGATTTTTGGAGACCATGATGGTCCAAGTGAAATATACACACAGGGTAACATACTTTCTAGATGTGGCTTCACAGTAGGAAACCTAGATCAACCTCTCGCCGTAGATAAAGAAAAGTGAAAATGCTGAGATTCGAGTCAATATGTATTTTAAAAATCTTACCCTTTGTGACTTCAACATCTTTCCTTGTGCCAGCTAGAGTGCTATATATCTTACGAACAAGCTCCATGTTATTCAGTAAGGAGTTAAATGCATTGAAGTATGAGAAGCTAACCTGGTGTGAGATACTTCCTCCGGCTGCCTAGGAAATGACAACACAGAAAGTTAAACAAACAACAACAAAAACACATTTATGGACACTGAACTTTCTCAGAGAAGAACCAAAGGCGTCTTCGTTACTAAAATGATAAACAACCAGTCCATAAACACAAGGAAGGTATCATGCTGAAACACTGTCAGTGCATTTCAAGCCCTCAGGAAAGTCTATGTAATTTAGGTGTTAAGGAAGAAAAGCAACATCTGGAAGTTGGACTTCATGGTTCATCTACCTATAAGGTCAAAAACAACAAATATAATTATCACAGATCAAAACCAATGATTATTTAAACAGGATTTTCAAGACCTTCAACTATGAAACTCCTGCTATTTCTGGATAATCCAAACCTCAACCTACAATATAAGAAACATTTTTTAAACTTGCTTTTTTTTTCATACCCATATACAAAAACCAGTGGTAACTTTAAATTTTAAGACTATTTCACTTTATCAACTTTACTAATCTTTTCTTTTTTAAGCTCCTTGTTATAATTAACATATAGAATGGTCTGTACTGAGCTCTGAATCTCTATGACAAAACGTAAAACTACCAAAAAACTCCAAAAAGATGTAGAGAAAATCTAGGGAGGATTTACTTGCTGTAAATGCGTCTTTAGTGGAATAGTGCTAAAGAGGCTCTCTCATGCCTAGGGAAAAATGGGGACAATACAGCCTACCCTACTCTGCAGGGTAGGAAGTAACTTCTCCCTCTATCCAACAGTTGGACATAAACTCAAAAGAGAATATTTTTCATAGCTTGCAAACGTTTAATTTCTAAGCCGAGTCAGAGGAATCCAGATGATTAAAAACATTCTCTATTAAAAACTCAAATACTTATAGAAATGACAGTGTGACAACCTTAATCATAAAGATCTATATTAAGGACAGTATAGGTAATTATGGGCATATGTTCCCACCCCCATCCCTCACACACAAGCCTTAACCCAAATATATGTGATATTTGTATTAGCCTGAATTTGGATACCAGTGACCCAAAAAGCCAGATTCAAATTATTTAACATGTTCCTCCAGAAACTGAGATGGCATTTGGTAAACTGAGGCTATAACAGGTCTATCTAACTCAACTGGAAAAGATTAAAGGGGTCCCCTCACCCCAAGGTACTGAGTCCTTCTCTCTAGGATTTTCTTTTCTTCTCTCCTTTCTCTCCCTTACTTTCTTTTCTTCCTCCTTTCATGTTTTTGGCTAGGGTATGAGGTGAGGGTAGGGGAGTGGGAGATGGGTGTCAAGGAGGTGAAATGTGTAGGAGAAAGTGACATGCTCCATGTTAAAATTCACTGAAGAAAAAGAACAGAAGTTGATCCTTATACCCTGGTCTAAATCAGGGATAATGATCTTCAGCTGAGACAACAAAAGCGCTCATTGGCTTCTCTCCATTTAAAACAAGCAGCAATCAAAAACTTACACATAAGTACAATACAGGAACAAGAAAACTGGTAAGTGAGGACAGTTTCACCATTCTTTGTGAGGAAGTGGATGACATCAGTTTGCCATTGGCCCAGATGCTTACTTCACAGAGTTTAGCAGTTTAGAGAACAAAACACTGTCTGGTCCATGCAGACTGAATGCACAGGTGAAGGGGCAGAGAGGAGTGAGCCACAGAGGCTGACGCCCACATATTTCCTCCATACCTTCTGCCACAGCCATGGCTATTAAAACAGTGCAGAGGCCAGTGATGATCCCTCTAGCAAACAGCACCCTGCAGGCAACAAAGGAAGGAGCCATCCTTATAGCAAGGCTGTGGGAGCCTGGTGGGGTGGAAAGAGGCCAAAAGTGAAGGCAGCAGTGTCTGTGAGAAGTACTGCCCTCGGGAAAAGTAATTGCACGCCCTTGTCTACATACTCCCCTGTTTTCTTTAGGTGGACTCTGTAAATGGAAATAAACAATTTGGAAATATATGAAAGCAAGATTGTGGTGCTGATCTGGGGGGAAACTATTCACTATCTCCCCCCCACACACACACACACACACACCTCCCTTACACACATCTGATTACCTCCTACCAACTAAGAGTAAAGTTACAACAGATGAGAGGCAGACACGCCGAGGGATGCAAGCCAGGACAATGGTTTCAAAGGTTTAAGGAAACAGAAAGTTGAAGTCATTGCTTTTTACTTACTGAGACTAAGTTCTCCTCCACGAAGGGAGTAAGCATGTGAGACCGGATGGTAACCATGATGTCACTGAAATCCAGACCAGAAATCAGGCCACTTTTGCTTTTGTCTTTGAGAGCAAAGGCTTGCCTTGCATGTTCCAACTGTAGTTCCTGGAGGGAGAAGTCAGAAACAGGGCCTGAGGCTGACTGAAGCATACCCCAAATATGTGTTTTAGAAAAGCATGGACATCCTTCCTCTAAATGCATTTACTTTAAAAATGAATAATACACATCTCTGAATGTACAGCAAAACTCTTCATTTCTTTTCAAAAAGCAAATTTTCCTGAAAATATGCTTACTACATGTTATTCCTCAGGAAGAAAACTGACTCACAGAATGTCAATAAAAAGGGAGGGGGGGAAAAAAACCTTTGTTTACTTGAAAAGTTTTCATTACTGAAAACAGAGTATCTTTTTAGTGCTTTAAGTTCTGCTTTTAAAATATGTAGTAACTCTCCTGCTTAAAGAAGTTATTGTCATCCCAGAGCACTTTCTAGATTACAAGTGGCTCTCCGTATCTAAGGGTTTCAAATTGGTTAGATTCAACCAATCACAGCTCAAATTCTAATATGAAAGTTATGAATAATAAATTGCAAAAACACTGTTCATCTATCACTCTATGTGGCTTTGAGTGATACCCACAAACTGTAGAACAATCCAGAAGATTTGGGAACTTTTCAACTATTGGGCAGCCAAACTTTGTAGTAGGTGATATCAATTAAAAAAAAAAAAAGTGGGCTTCCCTGGTGGTCCAGTGGTTAACAATCCACCTGCCAAAATCAGAGTATGCAGGTTTGATACCTGATCTGGGAAGATCCCACATGCTGTGGGGCAACTAAGCCCGTGTGCCATAACTACTGAGCCCACACATCCCAGATACCATGCTGTCCAACAAGAGATACCATGCTCTCCAACAAGAGAAGCCCCTGCTCATCGCAACGAGAGAAAGCCCCTGCACACCAAAATAATTAATTAAATAAATTTTTAAAGTGCAAGTAATACCTTAAGGGTTAGATCCCCTGGAGAAGGAAATGGCAACCCACTCCAGTATTCTTGCCTGGAGAATCCAGTGGACGGAGGAGCCTGGTGGGCTACAGTCCACAGGGTTGCAAAGAGTTGGATACAACTGAGCAACTTCACTTTCACAATACCCTAAGGACTACTTAAAAGTCAAAATTAGAGCATTTCTTTCCTAGGACATGTGACATAATCCAAATAAATCTGTTATCACAACATCATAATAGTGCTATTAGATGCCATTTTTACACTATCTGCAACTCTGGAAATAATGAAAGTGAGTCAGCTGTGTCTGACTCTTCAACCCCATGGACTGCAGCGCTTCAGGTCTTCTGTCCATGGAATTCTCCAGGCAAGAATACTAGAGTGGGTCGCCAGTTCCTTTTCCAGGGTATCTCCCCTATGGATTTCAGTCTGGGCCACCAGGGAAAGCCTTGGAAACAATATTCCTATCTAAATATATAAATATTATTCACAGAATATATATTAAACATTGCAGTTAGCATGATCATTCATTTATAAAAGCCTACAAATCAATGTTGCTTTACCCTTTTCTGACATTTAAAATAGCTTTTGATAGAAGTTTCGCCATTTTACTAATTATATTTTTTTTGTATCTCAACAGTGGTTGAAAGACATTAAAATTGGTTTCACTTGTAATTCATTAAACTGTAAATTTGTTTTATATTTGTATAAAACACACATATAAATATGTCCACAGTTGTATGATATTTAACAATAAAACAAGTTTTTAAGTATTTTGTTAGCAGGTTGATAAGTTAGAGACAAGTCTATCAATAATCTTAACTTTTAAAAAATTTAATAATACCATCACACATATTTGGATTTTCTTGAAAAGACCAACAGAAGCAGAGAAACTAAAAATCAACTGGTAAAAATATATGAAAGATAGAGTACAAAATAAACAACAAGCATGATTTAACAAGGACTTCTAGGTGGCACTAGTGGTAAAAAAAAAAAAAAAAAATCCACCAGCCAATCCTGGAGACAAGAGATGCGGGTTTGATCCCCGGGTCAGGACAATCCCCTGAAGCAGGAAATGGCAACCCACTACAGTATTCTTGCCTGGAAAATTCCATGGACAGAGGAGCCTGGCAGGTTATAGTCCATGGGGCCGTAGACAGTTGGGCACAACTGAGCGACTAAGCACATGCATGATTTGACAAAGTAGTTTTCTTTTCCACCCCTTCTACTTTTAAAATTCCAACTTATTAAAGTATAATTGACAAATCAAATTGTAGTATATTTAAAATGTGTACAACGTTATGATTTGATACATGTATACATTGTGCAAGGATTCCCACCATTGAGTTAATTAACACGTCCATCACTTCACATACTTTTTTTTTTTTTGACAAGAACACTTAAGTGCTACTCTTAGCAAATTTCAATTATACAATACAGTATTATCATCACCATGTTATACATTAGATCTTCAGATTTTATTCATCTTACAATAAAATTTATGACCTTTTTCCAGCCTCTTCCTATTTCTCCTACCCCCTCCAACCATAATCATTATTCTACTGTTTCTACACGTACAATGTTTTATTTTTTTAAGTGATACCAGGAAGTATTTGTCTTTCTGTGTCTGGCTTATGTCACTTAGTTAGAATGCCCTCCAAGTTCATCCATGCAGTTGCAAATGACAGGATTTCCTTTTCTGTTGTTGTTGAATAGTATTCCATCGCATAAATGTGGAATGATGTCCACATCACACACGCCACATTTTCTTTAACCATTCTTTTATCAATTGACACTTGTCTCTATACCTTGGCTGCTACGATAATGCTGCGATAAACAAGAATACAAACAGTCTCTTTGAGATGATGATTTTGTTTCCTTTGGATACATACTCAGAAGTAGGACTGCTGGATCAGAGAAGCTCCTTTAACTCCTTGAGAAACCCCCGTAGTGCTTTCCATGCTGGCTATCCCAGTTTACTTTCCCATCAACAGTGTACACAGGTTCCCTTTCCTCCACATCCTTGATGATATTTGTTGTCTCTGGTCTTTTTAACAACAGACAACACAGTAAGTGTGAGGTGGTAGTTCATTGTGGTTTTGATTCACACCTCCCTGATTAGCAATGCTGAGCAAGTTTTCATGTATCTGTTGGCGATCTGTATGTCCTCTTTGGAAAAATGTTTATTCTGGCCCCTTGTCCATTTTGTAATTGCATTTGATGGTGTTCGCTTTGTTCTGCTACTGAGCTGAATGAGTTCCTTGCATTTTTTGGATATGAATCCTTTATCAGATATATAGTTTGAAAATATTTTTTCCCATTCCATAGCTTAACTTTTCATTTTGTTGTTGGTTTTCTTTGCTGTGCCGCTTTTCAGTTTGATGTAGTCCTACTTGTTTATTTTCCCTTTTGTTGCCTTTGCTTGTGGTGTCAAATTCAAAAAAATCATTGCCAAGATGGATGTCAAGGAGCTTACTCTCCATGTTTTCTTCTAGGGGGTTAAAGTTTCAGGTCTTACTTTCAAGTTTTTAATCCATTTTGAGTTGGCTTTTGTGTATGATTTAAGATAGGAATCCCATTTCCCCAACACCATTTATTAAAGAGACTACCCTTTCTCCATATATACATGGGTTTATTTCTGGGCTCTTTATTCTGCTCCATTGATCTATGGGTCTGTTTCATAACAATATCATACTGGTTTTTTTTTTTTATTTTTATTAGTTGGAGGCTAATTACTTTACAATATTGTAGTGGTTTTTGTCATACATTGACATGAATCAGCCATGGATTTACATGTATTCCCCATCCCGATCCCCCCTCCACCTCCCTCTCTGTTTTGAATGCTATCCCTTCACAACATAGTTTGAATTCAGGAAGTGTCATCCCTGCAGCTTTGTTCTTTCTCAAGATAGATTTGGATATTTGGGTTTTATTTTTCTGTGTGTGTGGTTCCATACAAATTTGAGGATTGTTTTTTTCCATTTCTGTGAAAAACGCTGCTGCAATTTTGACAGGGATTGCACTGAATCCATAAATCTTTTTTTGAGTACTATGGATATTTTAACAATATTAATTTCTCAATCCATGAACATAAAGTCTTTTCATTTATGTCTTCAATTTCTTTCATCAACATCTTATAGTTTCCAGATCTTTCACTTAGTTAAATTTATTCTGGTTTCCTTCTTTTTCATATTATTATGAAACTATCTTCTTTAATTTACCTTTTCAATAGTTTGTTGCTGGTATACAGAAATGTTAGTCAGTCTTGTATGCTAATTTTATGTCTGACAATTTTCCTGAAATTATTTATTAGTTCTAACAGTATTTTGTGTATGCATAAAATCTTCAGGGTAGTCTACATATATTACATCCTCTGCAAGCAAGGACAACTTTAATTTCTCCTTTCTAACTTGGATGCCTTTTATTTCTTTTCCTTGTCTGATTGCTCTGGTTAGGACTTCCATTCCCTTGTTTTTAATTTAAAGTTTTTTAAAATTTATTGCTGGCTACACTGGCTCTTCATTGCCATGCACGGGCTTTCTCTAGTTGCAGGGAATGGGGGCGACCCTCTGGTTGCGTCTCCGGGCTTCTCACTGTGGCGGCTTCTCTCGTCATGGAGCACGGCTCTAGGGCATGTCGCTTTCAGCAGTTGTGGGTTTAGCTGCCTGGTGGCAGGTGGAATCTTCCTGGACCAAGAATCAAACCCATGTCCCCTGCACTGGTAAGCAGATTCTTTACCACTGGATCACCAGGGAAGTCCTTCCATTACCTTTTGAATAAGAGTGATAATAATGGACATCCTTGACTTGTTCCTGATTTTAGAGGAAAAGCTTTCAGCTTTTAACTACTGAGTGTGACATTAGCTGTAGACTTGTCATCTATGGCCTTTATTATGTCAGTATATTCCATCTACATCCAATTTGAATGTTTATCATGAAAGGATCTTAAAAAAAAAAGAAAGGATCTTGAATTTTGTCAAATGCTTTTTCTCCATCTATACTGAAATGATCGTGATTTTTATCCTTCATTTTGTTAATATGGTCTATCATATTTAACGATTAGCATATCTTGAACCATCCTTACATCTCAGGAGTAAGTTCCACTTGATTA